AAAGGAATTTACACATAATATGTAAACAATATACACTAATCCGATTACACATGTTCGAGTTATTTAAGCTTCGTAAATTCCCTCCTCTTCTGCTACTATTTGAAAAAAACATTAATTAAAGAATGAGGAAAAAATAAAACAGTTTTTTCCGTTCACCCATTACGCGCCAAAAACGTAACCCATTATTATGTTTTTTTTTTTTGTCATTACAAATGAAAAAGCAAGTTTTCCCTGCTCATACTGTCTGCGCTAATAGCACCACAAATTAACAACGTTGACGTAGTTCAAAGTATTAAACAAAACATTCTGTTAACATTCATGCTGTCTAAATAAGCAAAATACTATATATACAAAAAGGGCGGGTAAAAAAAATATTTGCGACATCGGGTAAGTCACCTTTTACCGGCAAGTAGGTGCGGAAGAGTACTCCGTAGTGTAGAGTAAACAGGAGGCCCAAAAGGGCAGCAGCTGCAAGAAGCGCATGGACTAACGCACTGAGTGGCTCATCGTATTGCCCACTACGTAGCAACCCCCTCAAAATGCCAAATGTAAACGCCAATAAGCCCGGCGCTGACCCTCATTGGACCCTCGCCCTCCCCCATAGCGCCAAACACCACGTAGGGGCATATGTACAAAATAATTGTGACAGCACAAAAGACTCCTTGCAATGTGCCAGTAATAGCCAAAGAGGAAGTTTTCACAACAAGGCTGCACAAAACAGCTGCAGCGATAGCACTAGAAGCAGTAACCCTAACAATGAAGTACTCTCCCCCGATTTGTGCACATCAAATAATGCAGCCAACGCTGCTCTTTCGAAAAATCACAACAATGATGACACGTACGAAGTGTACCAGTTAAATGTAAAAAGTAGTACCAATGACTCGTCACCGCAAAACTCTAAGTTAAGTGTAGCTAGCTATGCACAACAGTATGAAGAATCTTACGAAGAAAGAACAAAATTTAACAAAAAAAAAAGCAGTTTTTATGATAATAATGCTGTACCAGATACTTATCCCTTTCTGCATAGCTATAATAATAGTCATACGGACAATGCGAATAGGAAGTATGATAACGGGACACATCAACAGAACAATTCCAGTGGCGGATGTACCCCCCAGAAAAACAGCACGCAGCATGCTAGCATGTCTGATCAGCGCACTTCAGGCGGGCCAAATATGAATGAACATATGTTAGTGTTGGGACCAGATAATTTGGAAAACTTCTGCTTAGGCAACAAAGGAGCCTCCAAATGGGGCCCTGAAAAGGAGGAACAGCGCAGCGGGGTAAGATGCGAAGTAGGAAGTGATTCACCAAACTGCCTGCCGAATGAACAGGGTAGTGCCAGCTGTGCTTCCCAGGGTTCCCCACAGGGACATAACCAAAACGACGGCGATGGGAACAAGCTAAGCGTGCACAACTACGATGTAGACAAACTGTATGAAAATTTTTGCTTCAACCGAGAGAGAGCAATGAGTCATACAAAGATATTCAATTATGCTGGAAGTGAAGACATGAAAATTACCAAGACAAAAGATAAGACGAATACATTTGTCCCAAAGTACAATAAACTGACAGCCAAAGAAATCCATTTTAACAGCCTCGCAGGGAATGATAACATAACCATTTTAGCTGCAAACAAAATGAAATTAGATCTTAGCAAGTTATCCGAAAAAAATGAAGATGGTTTACCAGACGTATATCCATTTCATCTTTCCATTGATACGAAAAATGAAGAGGAAAAAAAAAAAACACATAAACCTCCTTGCTTGGAAAAGTTATACCCTACAAATTATAACTATATAAATAAATATAACCACAATAATGCTGATATTACCCTGGAGGAAAGAAGAAGTTATATGAACTCGAGTCATATTTTTGATTACGATTATGATGATAATAAAATGGAGCAACCGTATGAGAAGGGAAGTAAAAACACAGAGCAAGTCGTCACGCAACGAATAAGCAAAGATATAACCAATGTGGACAGCGAGAAAGAGCAGAAAAGGAAGGTAAACCCACTATACAGCGACTTATTTGGAAGAAAAACACCAGATATTAATCACAATGCTCCATGTGAAAAAATCATGCCAACAACATTGAATTGTAATTGGATGTATTGCCCTATCAACAGCAGGAAGTATTCGGAACAGTCCATTAATTCTTCTGATTATTTACAATCTTGTGAAAAGGGAAACTTTAACAGAAAGTCATATTTTGGTAAAGAAGTATATGATGATGAAAAAAAAAAAATTCTTGAAGAAGCAATACAGAAGGGTTCCAAGGCTTTGCTCAGAGTACATATGCAATCCATTTTACAGGATGGTGTTAACTACAATTTGGAAGATTGTAATAATGTAGAATCCAGTTACCTAATTCTACATAACATAAAAGATTCTGTGTCAGATGCGGAGATAAAAGATGCTGTGAGGAACAGCGGTGCCTTCATAGTTACCTATGAACCGGAGTATGACTTCCTATGTAATAGACGCAAAAGCAACGCGAAATTGTGCATTAGGCATGCTAATGGGAAAGAGGGCTTAAATTTATTAACGAGTTTGTTGGCTCAGCTGGAAATTACAGTTCACCTCATGTGACGCTATGGGAGGTGCTATTGTCATGGAGAAGAGCCCTCCCGGATGCGCCTCCATCAGTGTGTGCGTATAAACACGTCACTCACACCTGCACCCGCTTTAACGACCCTTTTCCCAATGTTTGTCAAAAATCGTGGAGTAGGAAATTCATTTACAGTTAATTATAACGTTAATGCTAGACGCCAAGGGAGGCGTAAAAATGGGTACACAAATTAGCATAAAATTATACGCAAAGTGAAAGTGATGATAACATTAAACCCAACCCCACTTTTCCTTTAGCACATTTTATTAAAGCAACACGATTGAAAAAAAAAAAAAAAAAAAAAAAAAAAAAAAACATTTAATTATTACACCACCATGGAGAAGTGGTAACAACATGACAGCCAGAAAACAGTCGAATGACAGCTAAGTGAAAGCAGTATAACAAAAATGCACACGAATCTTTGACCAAAAAAAAAAAAAAAATATAATAAAAGAAAATTAAATGATCCTAATTAGACAAATTAAGGTTACCCTCTAGTGAATTTTCCTTTTTTTGGTTTGTGAAAGATCTTCCTCGGTTTGCCCTTAACCTAAAAAGAAGAAGGGGGAGAGGGAAAAGGAAGAAAAAAATAAGCACAAATATTACGATAAAAACAAGAGGTCCTATTTACGCGCTTATGCAAATACACCGCATATACATGTGAACGCAAGAAGGAACATGCGACGTATAGGCACGCATGCAATGGTCCAATCAATGAAACTTCTATGCGCGTAAAAAGGCAAAACAAAATAAAAGGCCTTTATTTTAGTGCTAAAACAAAAGGGTAGTAGCGTGGGCGAATAGTGCGCAACGTTTCAGTTATGCTAAATGTGCAAATTTTGCCTTCCAGACAAATGTCAGATCTGTGCATGGCCACGGGATCAAGCGAGTACACGAACGGACGAACGAAGCGGCGGTTTGCTCTGCAGCTTAAGACAAATTGCCATTTTGCACGCGCATGATGTATCTTTTCGTCTAAGCAATGTTAGCAAGCAACGGGCGAAATTGCGCAGAAATACGTTCAAATAATTACTCGTGTAGATATTAAAGAATATTATCTCGTGTGCACATTAAAAAAAAAAAAAAAAAGAAGAAGAAGCAAAGGGCCCATTTTTGTTTAAAACATTTCTTGCTATGTATTGCTTTACCTTTCGCTTTCTTCTTTTTTTTTTAAACTTTTTACGTTTTTGTATAATTTCTTCTTCTACATGATCTTCTTTTTTTAGTGAATAATCATCTTCATTTAAAGACATTTTTTGGAACTGTTTAAAAATTGGGGGGGAAATGGGAGTAAAATTAGTGGCAGTGTTTTAAAAGGCTCAGATTTGCGCGGCAGATGGCCTCAGTTCGCAGCAGTTCATGGCGGCTTGCACGTTTACATGAAGACAGGGTTGTTAGTGCATAGGTGTTGTGTAGTGTATGCATGATTAAAGTGCACCTGCATTTATAAGTTGGAGTATGCTTATAAATGCAGACTGCTCATATGTTCGCACGCTCACACGCCTTTGCAGCGCATACGTGCAAGCTAGCAGCTCCTTACATTTATTAGGTTTTCTTCAAACGCTTTATCGAAGAAGTTGGCTTCTTTATTAATTAAACGCCACTAATGGGAAAAAAGACGAAGGGGGAAAATAAAGATTTTGAAGTGGGAACTCGAATAATTTTATTGCATTTTTTTTTTTTTTTTGTTCTTTGAGCAGCGAAATAGGATGACGTTTATGTTTTGGGCGCGCACATAAGTTTCATATCAAAAATATAAACGAAAAGACTTGGAAGTGTTGCAAAAGGATAATCACATGTAATGCTCGCATTGTTCATAATAGTGTAATTGTATCAATTTTCCTGACATGTTTTTTCTGTTTTATTCAAAAAGTATTACTTTTAAGGAGGGTTTGTTTTTTAATTGTGTGTTGACAACCTGGTGAAGATTCTTTGGATTTTTATTGTTATTTTTACCCATTTGGTTGATTTATACAAAATAAAGTGCTTTCCCTTTTTTTTTTTTTTTTTTTTTTTTTTTTTTTTTTTTCTTTTTTTTTTTTTT